GTGAGAGAGAGTGGGAACCTCCCAGAACATTGTATTGTGCCACGCCCAACAGAAATACTCCAGGTGGGCGACTTTAAAATCAGGATCTCCTCAGTTGCTAATAGCAATTCCCACCTTGGAGTTTACAAAGACTTATGGGTAGAAAAGCCACACTAAGTAATTTACTACACCGCAGTATCACACTGGACAAATATTCTGCAAAAGACCACTTTAAAGTGCTGAAGAGCAAAGATCTCTCTTTGAAGACTAAGGTGTGCCTAACTCTAGCCATAATATTTTCAATCACCTCATATGCATGCATGTGAAAGCTGCACAATGAATAAGGAAGACCAAAGAATAGTTGATGCTTTTGAGTTGCGGTGTTGGTGAAGAATACTGAAAGTGCCGTGGACTGCCAGAAGAACTAACAAATCTGACCTGGAAAAAGAGCAGCCAGATGCTCCTTGGAAGTGAGAATGGCCAGACTTTATCTCTCCTACTTTGGTTATATTGTCAGAAGACACCACTCCCTGGAGAAGGATATCATGCTTGGTAAAGTGGAGGGTCATTGAAAAAAGGGAAAGCCCTCAAGGAGATGGATTGACACAGTGGCTGAAACAGTGGCCTCAGATATTGCAAGAATTGTGAGGCTGGCGCAGGACCAGGCAGTGTTTTGTTTTATGTAGAGTTGCTATGAGTCAGAGCTGACTTGATGACACCTGTCATCAACAAGCTAACAGTTACTTCCTAATGACTTTTGACCTATCACCCATCTTCAATCCAAACAAAAATATAAAATTTTATTGTGCCTTTAAAGCTCTGATGAATTCAATTTATACTGCTCAAATTATAGTTCCTAAAGGAAATCAAGATAGAGCCAGTAACGAATCTGGAGGACACCAGCAGTATAAATTTAACTGTTTTTTCCCCTTGCTATGAGTTGAAATCAATTCAATGGCAATGGGTTTGGTGTTTTTGGTTTTCTCTCTCTTGTTCCTTCATTCTCTATCCCCTGTGCCTTTGATGCTCTTCTTTCCTTCTTCCTTATTCTTTTTGTATTTATTCATAAATCTGTGACTTCTCTAAATATTTCTATGTAGTTATTCAATACTCTGCTTGACTAACATGTTTACAGTGGTCCATCTGGTGTCCTTTTAAAGGAAGGAGATTCCAGAGAGCAGTGGACGTCACAGAATACCAGAATCCCAGCACTGGTTTAACATTTGAAATAAAGAACTTCTCTCCTCAAATTCCAGTATTTATTTTAAAAGGAGAGTAGTGTTAAGTCATCTGAGCAAACATTAAAAGAGAAATATATATATTCCTACTATCTAGTTATCTGACAAGGCCAGTAAGTTCTGCTAAAGCTAAGTCATCTGAGCAAACATTAAAAGAGAAATATATATATTCCTACTATCTAGTTATCTGACAAGGCCAGTAAGTTCTGCTAAAGCTCAGTTGAGTATTACTGTTCTAGCAATTTTGTAAATCTGTATTCTGTATTTTATCACATGTGTAATCAGAAATTTATTTATTTTTTTAAACACAGAAATTTCCCACTGAAGGTCTCTCCAGTGTGGTTAGGAACGTGTTTGACTTTGATTCCTACAACAATGACATGAGGGAGATTTTGATCAGCACTTTACACAAATACGGCATACCTATCGGAGCAAAACCTACCAGTGTGCAGCTAGCAAAGGAGTAAGGCAAACTCACTGTTGTTGATAAAATACTGTTATGAGGATTCTTTTTTTGATTCTTAAATGCTAATATTTCCTCATTGACTGCTATACTCTATTAATAAACTGAGCTGGTGTGGAAGTTCTTTCCACAAATAAGCTACTCAAATATATTTTTGCTATTTGCTGACTGGTTTTCAGTTCAATAGCATTGTTTGCGGGCCTGTGAATAGAGAATCTCAATTATTTTGAATGTGCCATGAGTAGATGTAATCAAATAAAGGGAAATATTTGTTTCTTTCAGTCTCTGTCATTTTGTGGAATTACTGTGGGTCTCATAATTTCCTAACCAAGTGTCAAATTGTTATATAAACATGAAAGCTACATAGCCAGGTGGTATGCCTTCAGTTAAGATTTTTTTATTTATGTCACTATAACTTTTTCTTTGATAATTTGTTAAATTTATTATCCTATTAACTTAGATTTAATTTTTGGTTACTTACTTCAACTGGAAGAACAAATGGGTTTTATTTTCATGGGGGCCAGTTGCCTGCTTTTTATTTTGAAATGACAGACTACTTACTTAACCTTAGTCAACAGTCTTGCAAATACATTGTTGACGAGAAAGATAGTGGAGAAAGTTATCAATAGAATGATTAAATCAGTGCAAATTAGTATACTACTATAACTGGAGAAATAATTTTATATACGCATAAGCTAATGATACTGTATCTGATGCTGTCATTGACTAAAATAAAAACATATAAAAATAGTCAATTGTCATAAATTCTCAATGAATAATAATTACTTTTAAAGTAAATTATTATTCTTTTTTAATCTCATATAAGAACTTTCAGCCTTCTATTAGAAATAGTGTGTTAAATAGAACTCATAAATTAATTCGGCATTTAGTTTATATAGTTTCTGGGTTTATACCTCTTTATTCATTTATTCTTTGAAGTCATGGTAAAAACTCATCAGAATATAAGCCAATAAAAATAAATTATTAAAGTATCGTGTATTTCTTTAAGAGAAACAAATATTTCCCTTTTATGGTAAAAAACACAAGATGGAGTTAGGTTAAAAATTATCAGTGTTTTGGTTGATGTTATTAATGAGTAAGAAAATTCTTTTCAAGAAGAATGATTCAGTCAATTACTAATACATACACTTTCTTCTGTATAGTGTTGCTTTACTGACTGAAGGAGGTGTCGCTATCAGTCGGATCCGACTCGATGGCAGTGAGTTTGGTTTGGTTTTTTAGTGACCCCTGTGGGTGTTGTGCAATCTACTTCTGTAGTGATACCACCTCGGAAACCCAAGGAAGGGTCACTATGAGTCGGATCCGACTTGATGGTAGTGGGTTTTATGGGTGTTTTGAAACTATACCTTTAATTAAATGAGTGTAACATATCTTCTAAGAAGCCCTAGTTGTTCGGTGGTTAAATGCATGGCTGTCAACCAAAAGATCTGCGATTGGAATCCATAGGTATTCTGGGGGCAAAAAGACATGGTGGTCTGCTTCAGTGAAGATTGTTGTTGTTGTTGTTATGTGCCGTCGAGTCCGATTACAGCCTAGGAAACCCTATAGGGCACTTCTCTTCTGCCCACTAGAGTCTCTGTGAGTCAGAAGCCACTCCCTGGCTTAGCTTATCTTCTAAGTTAGAGAGTTCAAGAAATTGCTTTTAATATGCAAATTATATTAATACTTGTGTTGTTTAAATTTCCTTTTGTTTTTAATTGTTAACGTAGGATGGTTTTTATTACCACTAACAAATGTTTTTGTTGGAGGCTGGCGGTTCAAACCCACCAGCCACTCCTTGGAAGGAAGGTTGGGCAATCCTACTTCTGTAGTGATAACTGCCTCGGAAACCCAAGGAGGCGTCGCTAGGAGTCGGGGCCGACTCGATGGCAAATAACCACATCAACAACAACAACAAATATGTAAAATCAGAGTTCTAACTGCATGGAAACCAGGCTTGTGATTTAAAAATAGCCTTTCTTGTACTCAGAATTTCAAATAAAAATTAAAATACATGTTAGTTAGTAAGATCAATCATAAGAGAATTCTTGGTAATTTCTGTTTCTAAGGAAGATTTAACTATTCCTTATTATCCTCACTTTTGAACTGAAAAAATCTTTCTGTTGTGTTCTGGTTAGCAGTCAAGTGCCTCAGGCACTACGCTACCAGAGCTCCTAATTCCAACTCTAGTACTTACTTATGAGTGGAAGCAAAAATAAATTGAGACTGGAAACAAGATGGTCACATTTATGCAAGTTGGGGTTGAAAACAACTAGTTGTCCACCCACTGCATCAGGATAAAAATAGACTTACAGCAGATGTAGATGATGAGTGAATTTTCCCATGGAATGGGAGTGATCATTGACTCTAATTTACACAATCATCCAAAGCATTTTTTCCTGATCTGTAAATTGCAATGAATTTATAAGCTCAAAAACAGTGATGTCATTGTATTACCTTTTGATGAAACCCATGGGTTCCATAACACTATTGCTATCAAATTATTAGCTTTGTACTTAGGGTAGCATGGTAAAGTGAAAAAAAAAAAAAAAATGGCCTAGGTATGTAACAATCATACAGTCATCTTCATGCATATGAAAATATGCCTTTAGTTGGTACTTGGCCCAAATTCTGTTATTACATTTTTTTTTTCCAGCAATGACATTGGAAATTCATGAGCTTTGTTTTTGTTTTTTCCTTCAGAATTCAAATTTTAACTCAAGTCCTCCTGTTGCCTATAGTTGTAGTTGTTGTTAGGTACTGTTGATTCCAACTCATAGTGACCCTATGCAACAGAATGAAACACTTCCTGCTCCTGCATCCTCACAGCTGTTACTATGTTTGAGCCCATCGTTTCCACTGTGTCAATCCATCTCATTGAAGGTCTTCCTCTTTTTCACTGATGCTCTACTTGGTCCTTCTTTATAGCATGTACAAAGTAGGTGACAGTTGATGACTTGGGCCTAAGTCCCTCAAAGAGTTTACAGTTTAGTCTTGGTCATGTAATTTTGGATGTCACTTAATTAAAATAGGTACCCTGTTGATAAAATGAAAGCATTTTGTTATACATAGGATAACCATATAACTGATCATCTAAAGTAGGATTTGTTTGAGAATGAAAGGGAGAGCTTTTTAACAATAAGTCTATGATGTAAACTAAGAATGTCCTAGGCAAGCCTGACTATATGGCACCTTCAGTATGGATGCTCAGTAAGGGCCTTCATATTCTGACTTAATTTTCATTTTTAATATAATCTTAATATTCCTTTAATCTGTAGTAAAACAAAAAACAAGTAATGCTAACACTTTCATATCCTCCTGGAGTAGAACAGTGTTGATTACAGTCATAGTGATGTAAGACCTTAAAGGATTTCAGGTTGTCTCCACACAGTCTTAGGATTTGACTTTGACTCTTCTTCTTTGCTAGAAGTTTCACTAACGCCAGTTCTTCTAGGCTACTCCTGCCCACCACCACAGATACAGTGTTGGTGGAAAAGATCCACAGATCCACACCAGATTTCAGTGCTTAAGAAAGAGAATAAAATGGTTTAATTACTATTAATAACCTTTTTCTCCTGAATGAAATATTGTTGCCACAACTGTTAATTTTCTTGTTCTTTAACCATAGTGCTTATTGGATGAGAGCAAAATTACACTGAATCTGGAACAAGATGTCACATCCTTGAGATGGGGATGGAAAAATAATTGGCCACCCACTCCATGTAGCTTAAAAAAAAACGAGGGGTGTGTGAGGCAGATGTGCTAGAAGGGACATTTTCACATGGGGTGAAAATGATACCAGACCATGGTTTGTGCAGTTATTTGCAGCATCTTCTTCCTCAAGTGATGTCAGAATATACTTTGGCTGTTCAATACTAGTGGTGTCCTTTTAGTGCTATTTTTTTTCTTTGATTAAATAGTGTGTACCAATGATGGTTTCTTAGTTTGGGAGTTTTTTTGTAATTAGTAGACTTTATTTTTACAGCAATTTCAGATTTACAGAAAAATTGAGCAAAATGTACAGAGAGTTCGCAAATACTCTCTCTCCCCCTGCCCACAGACTTCCTATTATTTAGTATTTTGAACTGGTGTGGTATATTCCTTATAATTAATGAACCAATATTGATACTTTATTATTAACTAAAGTTCATAGTTTTCATTAGAGTTCACTCTTTGTATTTACAGTTCTATAGGTTTTAGCATATGCAAAATGTCATGTATCTGCTATTACAGTATCATACAGAATAGCTTCATTCCCCTAAAAACACCCTGTGTTCTACCTGTTCATCCCTTTCAGCAACCACACCCCTCCCAGAGCTCCTGGCAACCATTGATCTTTATGCTGTCTCTACAGTTTTGCCTTTTCCAGAATGTCGTATAGTTAGAATCATACACTTTTTGTGCTTTTTAGTGACGTTCCTGAAAGAGGGCTGCTGTCACTTTTTCTTTTGTTCTGAATATCCCAGTATTGGTTGCTGTCTCCTAGGTCTCTGCACATTTTCAAAAGGGCCAATGTGACATTATGAAGTGAATTTGACTTGTCTTCTTTACTAATCATTTGCTAAACCTGTATAGGTTGAGTCTTACTGTGTGGCTCTTTTACCTTGCTCGATCCTGCCATGATGCAGCCTTCTTCCTGATCTACGAATGTATTCCAGATCTCAGAGCTACGATGAGAACTGGTTAACTGGACCCTCACATTGCATTTGCCCCTTCCTGCTAGTATTTCCTGAGAGTATTGATTGGGCCCCCTTTTAAATTTCTAATACAGGAGAAAGGGCATGCTAGAGAGATGGTGAACATAACCACATAAGGAGGGACACTGGGCTAAATGATGTATATTGTGTTTAAAAATGTAAATATCATGCTTAATATGGGTTTGAATTTAATTCTGTGACATTTGTCTGATAGAGAAATAACTAATCAAAACAACTGATGTGTGTGTATGTGTGCACACACATGCTAATCTCATCTCATGTGTACTGTAGGCAGAGATAGGA